TCGCATGGACAAGTGGTCCTAAGGGGCAAAAGGTTGCCCCAAGAGACCAAATCAAGTGTCGGAGTAACACTTGCAAAGATTGTCCTTGTGAGCAGGACATGAATACAAGAAGTTGTATTCCAGCGAGTTGGCACCTCGAAGATTAAGACCTCGCAGGTCGTTAGATTAGCAAAGTCTAAAATGCTAAATGACTCAAGTGGAGTCAGGGAATGGCCCTAAGGGATTGGTTGAAGCATTTGGACTAAGGTGTATGGTGCCCCATGAGGTATGGGGAGGATCATAAGATCCAAGGATGAGAACAGTAGGTATTTCATTGATGATAGAATATGCCATGCTAAAGTCGTGGGAAAGATGTTCCCAAAAGAAAGCAACTTTGGCCCAGAGTTGGGTGTAAACACTATGGTGCAATGCTAATGGATAATTGGCATAAGAGACAACCATATTGGTCTTGGCAAAAAGACCTAGACACAAGTAAAAAGTGTCATAAAAGTAGGCTCGTAGAGCTGATGGTGTGGAGACACCAAAGGTGCCAAGGCGTGCTGCCTTGAGGTCAAGTTGGCGGGTTCATGAGAACCCCATCCAAAGGAATCCTAATGGAAATGGGAATAGCATATCCTATGCTGGAAGGCATGCGGTTAAAGTGTGGTGACCCAGATAATGATGGAGGTGTGGAAGCACTAGCAATGAGTTGCAGGACTTGACAACTATGAGGCAACTAAGCAAAAGCTACAAAATAATTTGTTAAACTGGTAGAAGGCAACTACCTAAGACTTCTTATTGGGATAAAGAAGTTAAATATACCCTTATGAGGGATAAATTGCTTATGTTGCGATGTAGTAAGTCAATGTCGAAAAGAGAATGCTCATTGTCAGAGAGGCCATCATTAGGACACCCAGACACTCTAGAACACCAAAAGGTGTTGTTTGATGTCGTGAGGGCAATGGACAATGCCCAAGGGACAAAGTCCCTAGCGAATGATGGATAAAAGGTGCTATCCAAATGTCCAAGGTTGTGGAGACGGGAGAAGTTCGTCTACCCGAATTGGACAAAGCCAAAAGGGGATTTTGGCAAGGCTAGGGATGGGCATATAAAGGCCCATAAGTAGCAACGGTAATCCTAGGGTATGGGATTACAAGGTGGGCAAACCCGGATTGAGGAACCACTCCTAAGCTGTCAGGTAGGTTCATCCCTATGAATACTTGCCAAGGCATGGTAGAAAGTGCAAAGCTATCTTCCTAGTCTGGAGGAGAATAACTGAAGGAAATGAATGAGGCCAAAAAGGCAAGTAGTAAAGGGATAGAACCGAACCATGGGAATTGACAGGCATGACCAAGGGTGGTTATGCAAGTTGGGAGTGGAGAATCAAATGGGTGCTCAAGCATGTTATTACTAGTGACCGGGATGCCATGGAGAGTCTAAAGCATGGGATTGTCCATGTTAGGCTATATGGTAATTAGAAAGCTTGCAAATGGAGAAACCTTAGCAAGCTAAGGAATAGAATTCCTTGAACGGAACCTCGCTCTAAGCCTATAGCTAGAGCACCTAAAGGCAAAAGGTGGGGAGAGTACCCATGAGGCTTGCGTAAGGCCACGGTGTTTTGAAATGTTGTCCCAAAGTCCCAAATGGTGAAAGGGAAGAGGAGTAGGCCTCTAATGCAGTGACCAAGGATACAGTCATATGGTGAGGAAGTCCCAAAGGATAGTGGGCCTTAGCGGTCAGGCCTGCGGGCCTTGATCCAGTGGCAGTGTTGGCGAACACGGCCATGGACTAAAAGGGATTTGGTGGGGACTGGAAAAGAGTTGTCAGGGAAGGCTATGCCCCATGTCTGCAGGCATCCTAAGGATGCTAAGGAGTAGATCTGGGATGATCGCTCATGGACGGATGGCCCAGTCTTTGAGAGACGGGATTATGATGCAGGTGGCGTTAGACCACTAGTGTGACCAAGGTGAATGGGCATGGCCTAGCGTAACGGGCTGGTATGTCGGTGGTACCTTGGGGTATCGGTCATGGGATTGGACATGTGGAGCACTTGGACCAAGTGCAAAGGTTGAGTGGCATGGATGCCATTCTCAGGGCTGGCAAGCCCCAAGTCCTAACGGGGACTTATGGAGGTTGTGAATGAGACTCCTCCAAGTGGTCAGAGGTGCAGTTAAGTGACTAAAGTAAAATGGAAAAATTAGTCGCTTACACTAGGTCTGCCTCATCCCATGCACATGCATGTGTACAGCCGTTGCCATAAAGAATGAAAATTGGTTCTGTCATATAACGCAAGTGTAGACGGCAACGTGTGGCAACAGATTGAGCAATAGAAGATAAAATTGAACCTGTATCAACCAACACAGAGAGAATAATAGAAAACCTTTTGTTAAAAACCGACTTTGGAAAGTAAACACTAGATGAATTGGTGCTGAATGAACCCCTTGATGATACTCCCGAAGAAAAATGGAGGGGTTACTAACTTATTCACGCAAGATCCTTTTGTTACTCGGGCGATTCCTTATTTCTCGGATGCATCTCGGTGTCCAAACCTTCCACTATAGTAGCACCAACAGGACGTTGTTGACGCCAAGGTCTTCACCTAGGAAATGGAGGTTGTTAATTCGAAAAACATCGACATCATATACCTAATAGCGAACGTCATGGCCATGATCACATCCTCACCCTTGTCCTTGGACTCGAGCAACAGCAACATCAACTTCCATTGGAACAAGACCATCGCCTATAGGAAGTGGAGCAAAAGAACGTGCAGTGCGAAGTGGAAGAGGCGACATCTCATAACATTGTGCCAAGCGAAAAGCATTGTCAAGGGTGGCTGGAGCAAGTGTATGCACAAGTCCAACAAGATCTTGACGAAGTGCTGGCCACAACATTCCTAGCTTGATCCGCTCTAACATATTTAGCTCTGCACGAAGCAAAAGACTTTGGAAACGAATGCCAAATTGCATCATCGACTCAGATAGCCCTTGACGAAGATGATGCAATTGCTGGAAGGCATCATCACAATGGTCGGCATGTCCAAATGTGCGTTTGAAGACATCTGGGAGAACATTCCAATCCCCACGAATAGTTGCATTCAAACCATTGTACCACTGTAGTGTCGTCCCTTAGAGACACGTGGGAAACTCATGTAAACGTCGAGCATCATCTCAAGAATTATATGTGGCAATCATCGTGAAGTGATCAAACTAATGGTACACATCATCCCTAAGATTCCCATGAAAGAACTCTAGTTGCACACGAGGATTGGCACCAAGAGCAAGAGGAGTTGTACCACATGCTGTGAATGCCATCATCAATTAAGTTTAGTTGTTCAATTGCAAATGTATAGCATCAAGCAATTGTACCAACTGCTGCTCCAGAGTCAAAAGAGGAGATTGTTGATCTGCCATGAAGATGAACAAAAAGGAAAGAGCAAAAGAAGAGAAATGACAAAAAGTTAAAAGGAAAGAAGAATCTAAACAATGTAAAAAGCTAGATCTAAACAAAAATCCTGAAAAGAAAGAACAAAAAAGAGGAAATGGAAAAAGCTAAATCTAGATAATGCATAATGCAAAAACTAAATCTAAACCAAAATCCCAAATCCAAACACTCCTTAGGGATAATCAAAAGATGCCTTTCATTTCCACCAATGTAAGTGTTTGGAATATAGAAAAGGAATATAGAAAATGTGTATATCAATTAGCCCAAAAACCCTAATTTATATATAGGAGTGAGTGGTCCGGATTGAAACCAATTCAACAGCTACAAAAATCCTATTACACTAATATTAGTATATGGCATCGTAACTGTACACTTGACCCTCACAACATGCTTATTATTAAAAGCTTTATTCTATAATTTAATTTCATTGTGTAAAAAAAATTATTAATCATTATGAAATTGAAGTATAAAACTTAATAAATGAGTTTTTTAACCATTCCACTGCAGCGCTAGTTTGTGGCAATAAAACCTTAAGGATTTTCTTTATTTTGTTAAGTAATATTTAAAGCATAACTAATAAATTTTTTATAATTAAAAATAATCTTTAATTATTTCAATTATAAATTATATAACTGGTCATCTACTATCTATATAGGGATTAAGATGTGTTTAATATACTAAAAATAAATAATATTAATGCTCTCAAATATTTATAAATTCATATAAAACTTTTACTGTCTCTTTATATAAATACCAAAGTTATTTTATACTTTTAAGGTATTAATGCATATAAATTTATTTTCAACATTTTTATATTTTAATTACCATTTTAAAATTTAGTTACTAAAAAAACATCCTGTAATTTTACTAAATTTTCTCCTAACTTTATAAAATGATTGAAAGACTTTGGCATAGAAATAATAATATAATAAATTTATTTATTTTTCTTTTTTAGCTTATTTACTATTATTTATTATATATATCTTAATGCATAAAATAGTGCTTCTTATTATATAATACTTGGGTGGCTCTTTGCATTTTAACTTCATTGATACAGAAGAAACATTATTAAAATTATAATTACCTTGATATAAATTTATAATATATTAATTAAAATGCATAACTTTATAAGTGATGATATAATTAATATGATGGTTATAAAAGATTTGAAATATTTGTAAAAAAAAAGAAATGCATTTTGGATATTAGTTTTTAGTGAATAGTAAGAAAAAACATTTCACACTTAGAAATTTGGTTAAAACATTTAAAATGTATAAATTGTATTTTGGCATATGAACTTTATATACATATAAATTTTAGAGAAATACCATAAGATTTTAATAATTTAAAAATAAGATATGTAAATCAAAATTATATAAAACTTAAACTCTTGAAGGATATTAAATATTATATTTAAAATTTAAATTAATTTTTTAGCATATGATTAATAGATTTGATGTTTGTGATTATTGTATTACCCATTGTTGCAATTACTGTAAAGAAAAGTTAAGTCATAAGCTTATTAATTAATTAATTTATGATCAATAAAAAACATATAAAATAATAAAGATCCGCTTAAACCCTAAGCCTGTCTTTTAGGGTCCCGAGGGAAATGGCGGGGGTTGTAGAGTGGCACCTGAGGCCGCAGAATCCAAAGAACCCCGTCGTCTTCTTCGACATCACAATCGGGACGGCGCCTGCTGGGCGGATCAAGATGGAGCTCTTCGCCGACATTGTTCCCAAGACGGCCGAGAACTTCAGGTATTAGTTCTACTTCGTGTCTGTTTTGTTTCAGAGATTTATTTTCTTTCTTTGGCAGGCAATTTTGCACTGGTGATTTTCGGTAAGGAGGGTTTTCTCTCTTGATAAGAAGTCTGGTTCGATCCTATGTTTGTAGAAAAGCCGGGACACCACAAGGATACAAGAACTGCAGCTTCCACCGCGTGATCAAAGACTTCATGATTCAAGGCGGGGATTTTCTCAAGGTGAAGTGACATTCTTTCCAAGTTCTTGCCACTGACCGTTTTGCTTCTTCACAGGGCGATGGAAACGGATGCGTGAGCATCTATGGAAGTAAATTTGAAGATGAAAACTTCGTAGCCAAGCACACTGGCCCGGGTCTTTTGTCCATGGTATGAGCTGCTAACTTTCTTTTCCTTCGACCCGAGAAATTCCATTTTGACGCTTGGAATGAATGCGCAGGCTAACAGCGGCCCAAACACAAATGGCTGTCAGGTACTTTTTGTGATCTTCTGTGGGTGATCTATACTTACGGAAGATGTTGTTTGTGTAGTTCTTTATAACTTGCGCCAAATGCGACTGGCTCGACAACAAGCATGTGGTGTTTGGAGTAAGTTCTTCTCAAACTTGAGCTGCAAAACTCATGCTCTATTTTTTCCAGAGGGTTTTGGGCGATGGACTTTTAGTGGTGCGAAAGATCGAAAACGTCCAGACTGGTCAGAGCAACAAGCCAAAGCTCCAATGCACAATTTCGCAATGTGGTGAAATGTGATCCATTCTTCTAACACGTAAGTCACAACTATGTGTGTGTGTGTGTGTTATTCAATCGCAATACAGACAATGGTTTACCACAGGAGAGACTATGACGAGCTGGGCAGAGCAGCCAGCCTAGTATACATTCTAGCCATGGATCGATAGCCTCGCACATCGCCGGATCGCAGCAAATTCCCTGGGACATCCAGCTCAAACTTGGCAACTTTGGAGTAAAGATCTCTTACCGCAGTCGCAGTTGAGAGGGCTGTCTGCCTCGGGATGAGCCATCAAAGCAATCACCGCTCGGCAAACCGATTGCAACGTCCATGCCGGGCTCCAAGCGGTCTTGAGAATGTCGAGGCAAATCTCTCCAGTCTGGAATAGAAAAAAAAAAGAAAGCTTACTATTTTTCTTTTGAGTTCTTCCAGGCCAGGATGAAAGATTTGCGGTACCTTGAAGTGAACGTTTGGATGAAAGATCTTTGTGACGAAGCGGACCAGCGGTGGAAGTAGAGGATAGTTGTCCGGGACGCTTATCGCGAGCTGGAACACGCCTTCGTGGTATGGAGTCTCGGCAGGTCCCTGGAAATCCAAGCGAAATTTCTCTCTCTCTCTCTCTCACTCTGCGTGAAATTCCTTACCTTGATATGTGCCGTCCATCGATGGATGTTTGTGTCATCGCAGACGAGCTGGATGTCCGAATCCGCGTTGCGATCCTTCTGGACTTCCCGGTACTCCTTGAACAGCCGCGCTCTGTTCGACTGGAAATTGGGAGGAGGGAAACGAGTGATCTGGCGATTGATCGATGCATTTGAGTCTTACCATTTTTGCTCGCAAACCCTAGGAGGTAGATCCCGCGTTCGAGCCCTGTCAGGGGTAATTACTTTGGGCGGGAAGAGGATAAACCCTAGCCTGTTCGACGATGCTGCAATGGATGGGAGGATCCCGGAAGAAGATCAAGCAGGTAGGGCTGATGTTCTCGCGATTCTTTCGTTTGATCGCATTTCTTGGTGCGCGAGAAGACCAGGAACTCTGTCGAGGCTAGGTATTGGTTGTAGTTTCTGATATTTCGATCGATGGAACACGGCTGCTGCGTAGGCAGAAGAGATTTTTCGAGCAGCGCAGGCGCCTGGAGAGGGATCCGGGACAGCATGCTGTGGGAAGATCTCGATCTCTTGATTTGCTGGGGCTTGAGAAGCTGTGCTCGGCTGCTCCAGTCGAAAGCTTGGACGATGAAAATCCCTTTGGGTGAGTCAATGGAGTAAGTTTTTCGCTCTGCTTATACTCGTTTTTACGTTGCTTTAACACAAGGAGTAAAGAGGTGAAGCTGTGCTCTGCTGCTCCAGTCGAAAGCGTGGACGATGAAAATCCCTTTGGGTGAGTTAGAGAGAGCAATCGAGTAAGTTTTTCGCTCAGCTTATACTCGTCTTTTCGTTGCTTTAACACAGGAGGAAAGAGATCATCCTAGAAGCGAGGACTCCTTCTCCGGATCATCCTTCTGCGGTGATGAGTTACCAGCCTTCACGTCCAAAGACTGCTGCGAATGAATCGGAGAAACGAATCGATCCAGCTCCCAATGCTGCTGCTTGGAATGACTCCAAGGAACAAACCAAATTTTCTGGTATCGCTTCTCCCTCTCCCAAGGATGCTGGGAAACGATACGAGGAACAAATCAGCACCGCTGCTACTGCTGCTGCTGCGAAAAGGTCCAAGGAACCAATTTCCGCGGCTGCTTCTCCTGCTACCAGAAACTACGGTGAGAATATCGACGGAACGCAAAGCAGCGCTACTGCTTGTCGCAACGAGCCGAGAGAGGGGAAACTAGCACTCCCGCAAGAACGATGTAAGAGGAACTTGATCCTGTTCTGGTGTTTATTTCATTTGATCACGCAGGCATTTCCATTCTCGACATTCTTGAAGATGACGAAATGCCGACCCAGAAGAGGCTGCGCGAAGGCTATGAAGACTTTCCCTGGGATACGATGAGAAGTCCTGCTCGTCAAAGGCGTGGCCCTGGATATCTTCCAGTAGGCCGAGAGGAAATGTCACAGACCACTCAGCTCCCAAGCTTAAGGGAGGAGCCGAATGCGTACTTCGTTGAAGGGTAAGCCATTGTTTTCGTGAAGAATCAACTTTGCGGACGGATGTTTTATCAGGTTGACATCCGAGGAGGACGAGCCGCTGGCACTGGCACTTACATCAGGGAGCTTATGGGAGGAAGGCGAAAGCTCGATGCTTCGCAAGACAGTTCCCGTGGTGACGTACGAACTCAGCAATGAGAATGAACAAGACGTGGATTTCTCGCACTGGGGTGCTGGATGGAAACACTTTGACATGACACTAGGAGGTATCTTTCCAGATTAAACTGTTCTTGCATTTTCTATTAAGTATCCAGAGAACTTCTAGCATGAGGCCGCGGCAATGGGCATCTGGAAGAGGCACGGACAAAAGCCGACGCCGCTGCGAGGCACTCGGCGCAAGGCATCTCAAGCGCCACCACAGGACCAAGATGAAAATCCGCAAGAGTTCGTCACCAAGCGCTACAGATACGCCTCTCTCCTGCGACAATGCGACAGCCTCGAGCAAGGCAAAACCATCCACGACCAGATGAGCAAGGACGGCTACTCCAGAGAGACATACCTGGGAAACCTCTTGGTGGACATGTATGGCAAGTGTGGCAGCCTCCGAGACGCCGAGGCCGCGTTCCACTCCATCCGCGAGAGGAACCTCTTCACCTGGACCATCGCCATGACGGCATTTGCCCAGAACGGGGACCCGCGGCAAGCCATCCACCTCTTCCAGGCAATGTGCCTCGACGGCGTGGAGCTCGACCGGGTCGCATTCGCGACGGCGGTGGGGGCGTGCTCCAGCCTGGGGGATCTCCACATCGGGCGCTCTCTTCACTCCACCATCGCCACCTCCAGCTTCCAGTCGGACGCGGTGCTCAGAGTCTCGCTCATCAACATGTACGCCAAGGCCGGGGAGTTCGCGCTGGCGGAAGAGCTCTTCCAGCGCCTGGAGCTCAAGAGCGCTGTCGCCTACACCGCCTTGATCGCGGCATACTCCCAGTTTAAGATGGGCCGCGAAGCTCTGGGACTCTACCGAGCCATGCACCTGGAAGGAGTTGCGCCGGACAAGGTGGCGATGCTGAGCGCTCTCGGTGCTTGCGCGAGCGAACCCGATGGTCGGGCGATCCACGCCTGTATCATCTGCTGTGGCTCCGACGGGGACGACACCGTCGCCAGCGCGCTCGTCAGCATGTATGGCCGCTTCCAGATGCTCGAGAGTGCGAAGAGTGTCTTCTTCCACCGCCGGGTTCCGCGATCCAGTGTCGAGCTCTGGAACTCGATGATCTCCGCGTACGTCCAGAGCGGGCACCACCGGGAGGCTCTCGAGCTCTTCGAGAAGATGGAGCTGGAAGGAGTGGCTCCGGACGTGGTCACCATCGTTGAGATCCTGGGAGTGTGCTCGGTGCTCCGGAAGCTGGACAAGGCGAGGATGATCCACGCGCAGCTGCGAGCGAGGGTGGATGCGGACACTGCCGTGGTCGACTCGCTGCTCAATGTTTACCGCGAGTGCCGGAGTCTGGAGGACGCGGTAACAGTTTTCCGGGAGGAAGCTGGCGGTGCTCGAGACTGCATTGCCTGGAACACGATGATCGCGGCTTATGCCGAGTGTGGCGATCCCGGGATGGCCTTGAAGCTGTTTACGTTGATGGATCTCCACGGCGTGGAGCCGACGGAAGTGACGTACGTGGCGGTGCTGGGAGCGGCTAGCAGCCTCGGAGCTCTCACCCGCGGTGCGTCGCTCCACCACAGGATTCGCAGCTGCGGCCTTGACGAGCTTCCTTTCGTGAGCAACAGCCTGATGCAGTTTTACGGCTCCTGTGGACGTCTCAGCTCCGCCACCGCCGTTTTCCACTCCTTGGAACGCAGGGACGAGGTGTCGTGGAACACCATCATGGGGCTTTACACCCAGCACGGATGCTGCGACACGGCCCTGGTGGTCTTCCATGGCATGGAGCTCGAAGGCGTGAGAGCGAACGTCATAACGCTCACCAACGTTGTCACTGCCTGTACTGTCACCGGCGACGCGGCCAAAGGCAAGTCCATCCACGCGAGAGTTTTGTCCATGGGACTGGAGCACCACTCGGCCGTCGGGAGCGCTCTGGTGGCCATGTACGGGAAGTTTGGAATGTTGGACCGAGCAATGTCTTGCTTCAACGACATCTCCGCCAAGAACACCGTCGCGTGGAACGCGCTGATGTCGGGCTTTGCTCAGCAAGGACAGTCGGTGGAGACGGTCGAGCTCAGTCGCGCAATGCAGCTGCAAGGCATGGAGTCGGACAGTGCCAGTTATCTCGTGGTGCTCTTCGCTTGTAGCCACGGAGGTCTGGTCGAGGAAGCGCTGTCATGTTTCTCCAACTTGGTCGAGGATGGCAGCGTTGCGGCGAATGACGAGCACTATGGATGCTTGATTGATCTTCTGGCCCGTGCTGGATGGCTGGACCGGGCCGAGGATCTCTTCCGGAGCATGCCGTTCGAGCCCGACTCGACGTCTTGGATGAGCCTGGTTGGCGCTTGCAAGCTCCATGGAGACGCTGGCAGAGGTAACAGCGTTCCTGGGATTGATGACGATAGCAGAGCAGCACCGTATGTGGTTGTGTCCAACATGCTAACGTGATCTTGTTCAAGCGTTTCTGGCTAAGCTGAGAGCGCTTGAGTAAGCGAGACACACTTAACACTTAACGTTGATATTGTGGAGCTTTAGAGGTCCGTGCATCCCGCGAGCTCAGTTTCAATGAGCTCGATGCATTGGCCTACACTTTTACCAGCGTCCATGGCCTCGGCAAGCTTGCTGTGAAGAGCCAGATGCCTCCGGAGGATGCTGACAGTGTTGAGAACGGCCCATCTCACCTGGGAATCGGCCTTGAGTTGCGTGAAGTTGAGCCGTTTGAGAAGCTCGTCCAGCTGCAGGAAACTTTTTGTGAAACAGTGAATTTAGCTTCATCGTTCAATCACCTGCTGGATGTCTGATAGTCCCCCTTCTGCAAGTCCGAACTTAAGGAACTCTGTTGCTACACCAGCCAGCGCAACGCAAGCATACTTGTTTAAAGTCTGCCATAAACCGCATGAGAAATGTGATATCCACAGAAGTCATACCCCAGAAGATAGCTTTCCAGTGTTTACCTGCAAACAGGATCAGCTTCGCTACTTTAGAAGCAGGAAACTTGAAACTTACTTCCTCCTGGAACTCGAAATCCACGAAACTTGTCCCGGCTTGGACATTCAGTGAGCCATTCTTTCTGAAGGCATCAAGGCTTGACAATGTGTAGTCCGCGGGTAAAATTCCCATCAAGTAAGCCACCAGGAAATGCCCTGCCTCGTGCTGCAGAGGGAAACTATTAACATGAGAGAAACTGGAAGAAATGCGTACCTGAGCTACTCTATTCTTGTACTTGCCGCTTACAACACGACCGAGAGTGTCAAGGAGCAACGCTTCCACACCACCATTGTAGACAATCTGTTCTAGATGAATGAAAAAACAAAGAGGAAAGAAAAACTCTAGATTACCTGATCCAAAGTTCCAACAAAAAGAGCAACAACAACACCGATGAGCAGCTGGAACTGATCAAGGTGGAAGAGCTGCCATGCTGCAATCCCTCCCGCCAAAGCTGCGAGCTGGAGATTTCTCCTCACCGTTCCGAGCGTGAAATCCACAGGCGATAGAAATCTGGCAGTGTCGATGCCGTTCAGCCGCAGCTCCTCCAGCGTGTAAATCCTCTGCGGGACCTGCGGCAACACTGCGAGTGGATTCCAGCAAGAAATCCTCCAATACCTACCTGTCTCGCTGCTCCAAACGCCCGCAATCGCGCAGCCGCCAGCGCCAGCGCCTTGCGGTGATCACCATTCCGGAGCTCGCGCTGCACGAGCGCCGCGGCATCGCTGACCTCGCTGCCGCTGGCGCGCCCTAGCGCCGATAGAACCACGCAGCGCCTGGCATTACAAGAATGGAGAGAAGAGACAATAGCCATTGCGAGACGAGAATATCCCCGCTATTATACCCCTCTACGTGGTGGGGTTGTAGCTCAGATGGTAGAGCGATCGCTTTGCATGCGATAGGCAAGGGGATCGATGCCCCTCAACTCCAGCGCTTTTTTTAAAATTCAAATTTTGGCGGCGGTACTTTTTAAATTTCGGCGGGAATCGAGCACCAAAAGAGGGGATAGAACCCTAGAAAACGAAGCGCGGCAATTGCGAGCAGAGTCGGGGGGGCGGGCACCTCTTCGAGGCCGCCCGCCCCTCGCCACTGCAAAGATCTCTCCTCCAATTCCTTCCTCCTTCCAGATCTTCCTTCCTCCTTCCAGATCTTCCTCTCTTTTTGTTTCCACCGATCGAGGATCGGCCACCGACCACCAACACCAAAACACGACGCACACACGCCGCCGCAAAGCCAGCGCGCAGCACATCCACGCTTGGCTTGGAAACAAGGGAAGAGAGGAGAGAAAAGAAGGGAAAACTTCCTCTTTTCTTGTTGGGTTGGACGGGAAGAAGGAAAAGAGGCTGAGTGGAGTGGAGTTTTAGTATATCCTTTGCTTCCCTTCGCCGGAATTTCTCCTCCGTTTGGATCGATCGACCAAAGCAATCTCGATCGATCCAAGGAGCCAAGAGCACAGCTGCTATGCCCAAGTTTCTCTCAACCTCAAGCTCAAGCTCTTCCCAGGATCGCTAGAACTGCAGGGGAGACTCCATGCCTTGATGAATCCCGGCGAAGTTTTCCTGGACGAAGCGCGCCAGTTCTACGCGGGCTTCCGCAGGAGCTACAACAATGCCTTGTACCACTCCCAGCAACAGCAGCAAGCGATTGACCTTCGCTACCACCACCAAGACCACCAGATGATCACCACCACCATGGATCCCAACCTCTGGTCGCACCTCCCGGACGACCTCCTCGACCGGATCCTCGCCTGGCTGCCCATCGACGCCTTCTTCCGCCTCGCCACCCTGTGCCGCCGCTGGTCCCGCCTCGCCACCTCCAAGAGCTTCCACGACCTGTGCGCCACCGTCCCCTCCACCGCCATCCTCTTCGTCAAGATCATCGCCTGCGACTGCCAGCAGCTCCTCACCACCTTCAGCCCCGCCGCCAGCCGCTGGTACAAGCTCCCGCTCGCCTTCCTCCCCCCAAACGCCGGCCTCCCCGTCGCCACTGCTCGAGGCCTCCTGTGCTTCACCAATCACTTCCAAGGCTACAACAACGACGAGTACACCGCGCTCTTCGTCTGCAACCCCCTCACCAAGGCCTGGCGCGAGCTCCCGCCGATGCTCTTCCACCACCGTCCCACGCTCGTCACCATGGTCGCCGACGCCGCCACCAAGTCCTACAAGCTCGTCGTCGCCGGCCGCTGGACCACCGAAGTCTACAGCTCCGCCACGAACTCCTGGAAGCGCTCCGCCTGCCTTCCTCGCGGAGAGGAGATCTCCCGCAACGTCGCGCTGTGCAATGGAGTGCTCTACTGCCTCACCCCGCGCTGGTACAATTGCTCGCTGCTCGCCTTTAGCATCCAGCACGAGACCTGGATCAAGATCAAGACCGGGAGGCTGCCGGGATACTGCCAGTTTCGGAACTTGGTGGAGTGCAGCGGCCAGGTTGCCATCGTCGGGAAGTGTGTCCGCCACCAGGTGTTCACCATCTGCGTGTGGTTCCTGGACCAGCGGAGCTTGAAGTGGCGGGAAGTTGGCCGGATGCCAAAGGTGATGGCGGAGTACTTCCTGGTCATGCCGTCGGAGAGTTTCTACTGCTCGGGCATCAGGAACCTCGTCTTCCTCACGCGGGACACCTCGCACGACGGCGTTTTGTTTGACATCTCCACCAAGTCGTGGAGGTGGGTGCCGGACTGCCCGAACTTGGAAGGCATGGCGTTTGAGCCCCGGCTGGATGCTGTGCCGTAGCCTCTTCTTTTCTCTCTCTCTCTCTGTTGTTCTTATGATTCTTCCATTGAATTCATCGATTGTAATCTGCAAAGTTTGCAAAAAGTTCTCCTCGTCAGTTGTACTAAGTGGTCAATCATTGAGGCGTACCTCGATGCTTTGCATCTTTCAAGTGCTTCCCATCTTGGATAGATACTGCAATATAAAAGGATCAAGGCCTCCGTCCAGAACGGCTGTTGGATTCGTCACCTCGTAACCCGTTCGTAAGTCTTTTACGATTTGATAAGGCTGCAACAAAACGCTAGTATCAACAACGAGAGGATGATAAAACGGTTGGCTTACTTGCAATACATATGATCGAATCTGATTTCCCCATGAAATCTCATGGAGCGACTGAGTATGCTGCGCTGTTTCTTCAGTCTTCCGTTTCAATTCCAGCTGGTACAGGCGAGAGCGAAGAACTTCCATCGCACTGTCTTTGTTTTTATGCTGTGATCTGAGAGTAGCTAGTTAGAAAAATTGAACGAAGTTTAGCTCCGAGAAGATGAAGATACCGCTCGTTTTGGCATTGAACAGTGATTCCGGTTGGCTTGTGAACGATACGGATTGCACTGTCAGTTGTATTGACGTGTTGTCCACCGGCTCCACTGGAGCGAAATCGATCAATAACAAGGTCGGCCTCGTTTATCTCAATCTCGGCTCCGGCATTGTCCAGGATTGGAATGACAGCCACCGCTGCAAATGACGTATGCCGGCGACCGGCCTCGTCGAAAGGAGAAATCCGGACGAGCCTGTGAACTCCGGCTTCCGTCTTCGCAAAACCATACGCAAAGTCACCTTCGAGTCGAAGTGTTGCACGCTTCAGACAATTTCGTCAGTGAAAATGGAGTTAGAAAGACAGTTTTGCGAGAAATGCACACCTTTATCCCCGCCCTGTCACCAGGCATTTCGTCGACCACGGCAGCTTCGAAGCCACGCTGCAGTGCCCATAGCTTGTACATACGAAGAAGCATTGCTGCAAAGTCCATACTTTCAGCTCCGCCAGCTCCTGCTTGCACCTGAAAGGAAAAACCATCAAAACTCGACCAAAGAAAGCAAGTAGATGGCTTTTACCTCTAGAAAGCACGGGCATCCATCGTTCTCTTCACACAAAAGTGCGAGTAACTCTTTGTCTTTCGCAGCCTTGCGCAGCGTAGCTAGAGCCGAGACTGCCTCCTGCACTGCCATATCAATAAAGCAAACTCACGCTTCAAATGGAAAAACAAAGAACAACTTCTCAGGAAAGATCACGGAACACTTACTGCTTCTACTTGCTCGTCTTTCTCTTCTCGCGCCAGCTCCACGAGATCCACATTCTCCACCAGCTCGGACTCCATCTCCCGGATTTCCTTCACTCGCGACGACAATGATCCAAACTCTCGGCTATATCTCGACGCTCGAGCTGTGTCGCTCCACAAGTCCGGCTTCTCGAGCTCCTTTTCCAGATCTTTGAGCTTGGATAGAACATCTCCCCACTACGTAGAAAAAATGTAAGAAGACGTGGAAAGAGGAGCATACCTTCATTCTAGTCTTGACAAGCTGCATGGAGCGAGCGACGGCAGCGGCATGACTCTTCCAGTCCTTCTCATCTTCCGTGATCTGCCAATTCCTCGCAGCAATCGCGTCGCATCCGCTAATCTCTCGACCTGGCTCCAGTTTTGCCGCCTTCTGCGAGCAAAGATTGAGAGCCGAGTGGAGGCCGCGCCTAGAAAACAAGCAATGCAGCCTCGGTGCGAGCAGCGTGGACAGCTTCTTGCTGCTGGCCGCCATCTCTCCGCCCAAAATTTCTTCACTCCCTCCTCATCGCTGCATTCTACCAGGAACCCTAAACCCTGTAACTTCAGTAAAATTCCCAAAAAGAGCTAGACTGAAAGAAAGACATGAGACATGTTATCACGACCGCAAAGCAAGCAATTCCAGCCTCCTCCATGGTCTCCAACCAAAATTTTCCTGCGTTCTATCGCTACCACTTCAAGTATCCTCGCCGCCGCCGACTCGTTGGCGAATCCTCCGGAGAGACCGAGCTAAACTTCGTGCCTCTGGAGCCACTCGCGTAGCTGGTGCTGCTGCTGCTGCTGCTGCTGGCGCTGCTCGCCTGCTTGCTGCTGCCCCCGATCCCTCGAAGCGAAAACTTGCGAGAGGAAGTCTTCAAACTTCTTTCGGAGATTGGCAGCATGTCCCTCTCTTGCGACGCAGACGAGAAGATCCTCAGTCCAGACTCCGGGTCATCGGAAAGCTGCTTGTTCTTAGCGCAAACCGGCGTCGTCGTCGTCGATCCACGCAAGCTGTAGCTCTTGAGCAGCCTCCTCGGGAATAGATTGCCACCACCCAAGCATTGCGGACACGGAGGATCCTGTCTCTCGGACTCGGACGTTGCCTGCTCCAAGCAGTCGGCATGAAAGACGTGACCGCAGGCCAGCACTCCCACACTCGGCGGATCCAAGTTTCCCACCATCTTGTGAGAGCTCAGCGGAGACCTCTGTGACAGCCAGCGGGAGCAAAGGCCACAGACGAACGCCTCGACGCTGGTCGACGCATAGCCAGCGGCTTTTATCCTCTCCAGTGCGGCCAGCTCGAGCTCTGCTAATCCAACCAAGTCCTCGCCACTGCCGTCACTCATCCACCGCAGCCTGTCCCGTCGAGAAGATGCGACTAGCTCCGAGAAAGCGACCATCGACCAGTCGGAGGTTGTCCCGCCGAGCGATTCAACGTCCCCGCTCTCGGATCTTCTTGTGGAGGAGAAGGCTCCTTCGTTAGCTCTGCTACTGCCTACGTTTGTCAGCCCGCATTTGTGCGGCTTCTCCCGAAGTGTCTTGGAGAACTTGGATACAAAACTGCTGTTGCTGCTGCTGCTGCTACTGCCGCCGCTGTTGTGCACGACCGGCTTAATCGAAGGTTGCGTTGGACAGTCTTTAGAAATCAAGGTCAGTGATGAACGCGACTCCGGGGTGTTAAAAGTACCCTGGAAAGCAAACCATGCAAACGTTTTGAGAAGCAAATTAGAGAAGAGTGATCAAAACAGGCACGGCATACCTCTTTTGAAGATGTGATCGTCGTACATGGACTACAGCTCGAATCTGCAACAAGACTCCAAAATTATTACCAGTACGATGAAGAAAAAAATTGACCCAAGACTGACACTCACCTAGTGGAAGAGGAGCCAGATCTACCAAGGGGCACACTTGACAGGAGCTCAAAGGATTGAGATGCGAGGCCCGAAAGCTGCTGGATGGGCTGGGATCCGGCGAAAAAATCCCACCCGAGAATGCTCGTTGGTGACCCACGATACGAGAGCTTCCACGCCGGCTGCCCCTGCTGCTGGACGAGAGAGAAGACCTGTAGAGATTCCCAGTGGCCTCTGGAAACGACTTTCCATCCCAGCGCGGCGACAAATCCCCATTTGAGCGCCAGTGCGCGGGATCCGCCGGCCAGCGCTCCTGGCCCCCAGACTGCTTTCTCGCTGGCACGCAGCAAACAGACCCCATTCCCTCCCCGTCAAGAGAAACAGGAAATTCCTCCTAGATTCCTGGGAACTGCCACATCTCCACCCGAAATTTCAATGCCTGGATGGAAAACCTATGCATGCCCGCCAAGAAAGTCGCCCGCTGGCGCCTGGCGATCGATGCTCGCCGAGAATCTCCACTCCAGCAGCTCAAGATGTGCATTCGCCGACACCGTAGCTCCCATGCCCGATCTACACAGCGTCACGATACCTCGCGGATTCCAGGCCGCGGCCGAGTAATCCGACGCTCCCGACGCCGATCCTCACGCGGAGCCGCGCGGCGCCGCCATCGCCTGCCGCGTCACGCCGACCGCCCCGCTCAAGCCCTCAAGAACACGGGGATGGATTGAACAGCGCTCCATGGCGCTCCGGAGATTCGAACCACAGACCGTTAGCTTAACAGAAAAAATATATATTTCACAGCGCATATTCTGCCAGAAAAAGGGGATTTTCCGGTAAAATACTTTACAAATTCCGCCAAGCGCATATTCTGCCAGAAAGGAATAATCTGGTGCTTAGACGCTAGCCACTTCGTTTTTTTCCACTCCTTGGAGGAGCTCCACAACGCGCGCCATGCTCGGCCGGCTATGGCTGCTCGTTTGCGCGCATATCGTCGCCGCGAAGACGAGTTTCTTGAGCTCCTCCGGCACGAATCGCCCCTGGAGCTTTGGATCGACGAGGCAGTCCAGCTTCCCCTCGAGGATGAGCGGCTCCGCCCAGTCGACGATGTGCTGCTTCATGCTGAATTCCACTTTCTCCGTCGGCCGCCGCCCGCTGATGAGCTCCAGCAGCAGGATCCCGAAGCTAAACACGTCGCTCTGCAGCGTCGCGGCCTCGCCGCTGGAGCACTCGGGCGCCGTGTAGCCGAGCGCCACCTTGACTTTGAGAGCCGGCTTCTTCATCAGCGCCGCGATGCCGTAGTCCGTGTAGAGCGGCTGGAAGTCGTCAGTGAGGAGGATGTTGCTAGCTTTGATGTTGCCGTGGATCATTGGAGGATTGGCGGAGTGATGCAAGTATCTGCAAGGAAGAAGAAACGAAAGAGTGAGAACTTCTCAAAGCATTTGACGAACTGGAGTGAGAACTTCTCAAAGCATTCGAAGAACTGGAACTTACGCGAGGCCCTCGGCACAGCCAAGAGCGATTCTCACTCTCTTCCTCCAATCCAAGAGATTGTCGTAGGAGAATGCGCCATGAAGATGCGCGAGAAGGCTGGAGTTGGGCATGTAGCTATAGACGAGGATTCTCTCGTCTCGCTCGACGCAGTATCCTCGCAGACGCATCACATTTTTGTGGAGCATCTTTCCCATCTTGCCTGCTTCTTCCGCGAATTCTTTGTCCGAGTTTAAGCTGCTGCCACTCCTCAATCGCTTCACGGCAATCTGGAAAGAGTTTGCTGCTGGAGATCTTTCCTTTCGCCAAGAACAAGAAAGAGATACCTGAGTTCCATCCGGGAGTTGCCCCCAATACACACACGCCGTGCCCGATTCGCTTGGAAGCGGCTCGGAATTGTCATCGCTTGTCGCGGCGGAATCTCTGTGATCCTCGATCTGTGTCTTGTTGCCACCGCATTTCGAAGATTTCGACCACCTGATACGATGGAATTTTATAGGCTTCCAATTCGCGAAGCGCGATATCGCTGCGCGTACCTGCGAAAGATGGATCCCATTAAGAACGCCTTGATGACCTTGGTCGCCATTTCTTGCGATGGAGGAAAAAAACTAGGGTTCTTCGTGCTTATTTATTTGACGAGCTCGGCGCGATGCCTGCCCGTCAAGTGACGCTTCTGTTTCAACTGCCTTTTACCGCCAACGGGTACTTTTATCTTCGTTTATTCGTTTGCTTGGAGCTAGGGTTTCGTGATTTGGGAGCTCACTCTTGGAATCGCGATGGCGATGGCGACGGTAATCCCTGTGGTCACGCCAGTCGACAAGAATGCCGGCGCTGGCAAGCCTCGGTCAGGTACACGAAGAACATCTATTCGCCAATCGAGGATAAGTAGTATCAGGTTTCACTTGGTCAGGAAAAGAGATCGAGCTGAAAGGAATCGAGATTTCAAGTCCGACTATACCTTATTACCGATCGAAGCAATTCAGTATTGATTGCAATGCAGCAATTTTCTTTTGAACTGCAAGGGGTTTGCTTGATTGGAATCGAGAGTTTTACTTTGAGAAGTTCTCACCAAGCATGAAGGTATGCTTGTCAAAGTTCTAGTCTGACAATGGAGAAGCGCGCTGAAAACGCGTGTGGCAGAGAAGCGTGAATCCTCTGTTTGGTTTCTTCCCGAACAGAGATTTTCCTGCACGGCTCGCGCAGTGATACGAGTGTAAGTTACTCATAGTGATCTCGCCTCCTTACTTGCATCTTACCAGGAAGGAACCTCTTGAACTCTAGAGCTCGAGCTTGCGATTCCACTTCTTTCACGGTAAGTAAATAAATGTTGCAAGAAAGATTTCATCTGAAAGCTGTTCCTCTTTGTAGATGGAAGTTGGAACTCCGAGCAACCACGACTTGGACAGACTTCTACGCTTTCGAAAATCAACGATTAGTAGGTGCTCTTAAACTTTTTGGTAAGTGCGTGATTTCTTTACCATTTTATTGATTCGGAGCTCAAAAGCTCCATCTAGACTATTGGTTTTCTTTTGTCCCAGATCGATCGCTCGTGGAACCAGTCCAATTGAAAAGAATTGCAAGCTCTCTCTCTCTCTCTCTCTCTCTCTCTCGCTCGCGAGTGAGTCACTGTTTTGATTCTTCCAAGCTCTAAAGTGGTGACTCCATTTTCCAAAGACATGGGGAATCGAACGCGCGCGACGTGAAGTCCATGAAAACTCCACTCTAGAGAGATTCTAGGGCATATTCGTTTGCCATGGACGCTATCCAGCCTCCTCCTCTCGCGTCCTCGGCAGCGGCGGATTCGGGCGCCAAGGATCTCGACATTGTCATCCTCGTCTCCAAAGGTCTGGGATCTTCGCTCGCTTCGTGGCGCTCCATTCTAAAACCTTACCATCTCCTCATTGTGATCGACGAGGAGGAGGAAGAGATCCAGCAGCACCTCCATGGCCTGGATTTCGCCCTCTACTCCACCGCCGACGCCAATTGCGAGCTGGAGCGATGCAATCTCTTGGGCGCCAAGGACCGCTCGGCCCTAGCCGCGGCGCGCGCTTTCGCCCTCCTCGCCTCCACTCGAAGGTACCTCGCCTTCTTGGATCTCAGCTCCGCGGCTCCTGCCACAGATCCGGCCACCGGCGACGCCATCGATCCATTCCAGCAGCACCTCACGAATCTGCGATCGCCCTCCACGCCCTTCTTCTTCAACACGCTCTACGATCCCTTCCGGCCCGGCGCGGACTTCGTCCGGGGATACCCTTTCAGCCTCCGGACGGGGGTTCCCACCGCGATCTCGCACGGGCTGTGGCTGGATCCGGCCAAGAAGCCCGCGGATCTGGTGCTCACTGTGCCCAGGGACGTGTTCTTCGCGATGCGATGCATCAATGTGGCTTTTGATCGCGAGCTCGTCGGGGCGGCCATGTTCCTGGGCAGTGGAGATCTCTGGGCGGGGCTCTGCGCCAAGAGGATCTGTGACCATCTGCGAGTTGGGGTGAAGTCCGGGATCCCATACGTGGCTTCTCGCGGCCAGGAAAAGGAGGAAGAGACCACCGAGCTCGCGGATCCGGAGATCATCGATTTCGTTCGCGGGATTGAGCTGCCGGATGCTGCCGTCTCGGCTGTGGATTGCTATGAAGAGATTGTGAAGAAGATCAAGGCCGAGAAGCCCAAGTTCGCGGGAGAGATCTCAGTGGCGGGCCTGGAAGCCTGGATCGCGGCTTGGAAGAAGACATAGAACAAACAAACGGTTCTTGAGTGAAACGCACAAAAGGAATAATTCGCCTCTGTGCAAGGCATATTCTGGTATAAATCTCTATAGAGTTAAAGTTTTAGGTAAGGGCGGGTTATTCGTTCCCCTGCTTGGACGGCGTGGTCCGTGTGGAAGGCGTGGCGCCGGCGGGCTCAGCGTGAATCCTGGTACGTTTCGTCCCGTTACGAGCGCCTCGCGGGGCGATTAGGTCGGGAAGATCCGCGAATTCGCGATTCTTGGAGGGAATGGAGCGCGAGGTGCAACCTCTGATCCATTCTCGCTGTGGCGTCGAGAATGCGGACGATTGCAGCTTCTTAGAGAGGTAGAATCTTGATCAAGAGATTTGCGCTCTCACATTCTTGGTTCTCCTCTCCAGTTGTCACAATCTCGAGGATCTCAAGAAGCAACCATCTCCTCCCGCGATGGAATTCACGAGGAAGAAAAGATTGGTTTGTAGCAACGTCGCGAGCTGCGCGCTTTCTGAGAGATCGTCGTCGTGCGATCATGAAGAAGAGCATTGCGAGACGAAGGAGAAGAAGAGAAAGCGGGGCAGCGTTTCCAGGCGGCTGTGGCTGGCGATGGCGTTTTGCTTGGCTCTCATGGTGGTGGAAGTGATTGGAGGATTCATGGCCAACAGCTTAGCGATTCTGGCCGACGCGGCACACTTGCTCTCCGACGTTGCCAGCTTTGGAGTTTCCATCTTCGCGATCTGGGCCTCCGGGTGGAAGGCGACGGCGCGCTGCTCTTACGGCTTCCACCGGCTCGAGACTTTAGGTGCGCTCTTGTCCATTCTTATCATTTGGATCGTCACTGGATTCCTGGTTTACGAGGCGGTTTTCAGGCTCGTCCACGAGCTCGCGCCGATCGATGGGAGGCTCATGTTTGCGATAGCCGCTGTAGGTTTCTTCGCCAACTTGGTCATGGTCTTCATTCTCGGCCACGGTGAAAGTCACCACCATCGTCACAGCGACGGTCACTGCCACCGTAGTTCGCTCTCCGGCGAGAGTTACAAGCAGGAAGGCGGATCTCTTGAGTCCTCGGACACAACCGAGAAGGCACACTTGGGCGATCTGGAAAAAGTGGTGGTGATAGAGGAGGAGGAGGAGGAGTCTTCTACGCCGCACAGCAATCTAAACTTGAGAGGAGCTTATCTCCATATCCTGGGAGACATGATCCAGAGCGTGGGAGTTCTCGTTGGCGGAGCTATCATCTGGCGGTATCCCCGGCTCCGGTACGTGGACGTGGTTTGCACGCTGGTTTTCTCTCTGGTGGTGCTGTGGACGACGCTGAGGCTGCTGAGAGACGTGGTGGAGATCCTCATGGAGAGCTCCCCTCGAGGGATCCAGGCCGAGGCAGTGCAAAGCGGCCTCGAGCTCGCCCATCCCGACGTCCTGGGAGTTCACGAGCTCCACATATGGTCCGTGACCACGGGCAAAGTTTTGCTGTCGTGCCATGTCGCTGTGAAGCACGACGCCGATGCCGACTTGGTTCTCCAGAGAGTGGTCGAGTACTGCTACCGGGAGCTCAAGACAAGTCATGTCACGGTGCAAATCGAGAGAATGGATGTGGATCATGTGTAGAAAAATCTCCTTTTTTTCGCTTTTTCTTGAGCGATATGACACTGAGGTGAGGAGTAAGAAATGCATGACTACTAAGAAGCCAAGATTTATATGATGTTAATTTGGATTGTGCTGGCTAAGGTGGTTATAATAAGCGATAGCAAAGTTACCTTGAAACTCTCTTTAGAATAACATTTTGGGTTACTGGTTGTACTAGCATATTCTTGAAACCATTGTGCTAAACAAAACATATAATGATTTTTACCGAACATGGCCATGCCATACATGGCTATTCCATACAAGGAAATTTATTCCATATTATAAAACCGGAGAATACCACAATCATAGAAGTAAGATAGAATTTCTAGCTGAGAGATGGAAGCATTCTGGGTTCTTGCCATTGTTTTGGTTGCATGCATCTCGATATCCCAAGCTGCTAGCACAAATCCTCCAGTACAAGGCCTGTTTGTTTTTGGGGACTCAGCGTTAGATGGAGGACAGAACACGTACATCCCGGGCTCCAAGATTGTTAGCGCAATTCCGCCGTATGGAAAGACGTACTTCAGCAAGCCAACAGGGCGTTGGACGGATGGTAGAACGATTGCTGATTTCCTGGCTCAAGCACTAGGCCTTCCATTGTTGCCACCTTTTCTCGAGCCTGGCGCCAACTTTTCCAGTGGAGTGAACTTTGCATCTGCCGGTGCAGGCTTGTTAGATGAAACGAATGCCCATCAAGTACGTATACTCTCGTATTCCCCTCAGAAATAGTTGATTTTGATTCATTCTTTTTGGGTTTTATCAGGGAGTTATTTCAATGAAGCAGCAGCTGCGCCAGTTTCGCAACGTCACAAATGAGTACAAAAAAGAGAAGGGTGTGGAGTTTACGAACCAGCTCTTGCGCAATTCAGTGGCATTGTTTAGCATGGGAGCTAATGATATTGCTAATGCTGTTCCCAGCTCATTCTTGTTCCAGGAGATGATACAAGCATATTCAAGTGCTATTCAGGTACTCGAGTATTACATTCACTAACTTCAAAACCTTTGGATGTCTCTTTTGATTTATAGGAAATTTACAATTATGGCATTAAGCATATCATAATTCTGCTAGCACCACCAATTGGGTGTACTCCTAACTTGAGAGCAGTATCAGCACAAAGCAGGAATACCAATTTAACTCCAGAGGGCTGCATAGGAATCATTAACACTTTTGTGGATTCATATAACACTAAACTCTTGAATCTTGCTGTGAAGTTACACAATGACTATCGTGACTTGAACATTGCAACATTAAATCCATCTCCAATTATACTGAACGTGCTAAGGAATCCTCAGAAATACGGTAAGAAACACAAATTATCTCTCCATTCATATTCATATTAATATTTGTGTGTGTCCATCTAGGTTTCAAAGAAGCAGAAAAGGCATGTTGTGGTGGTGGGCCATTTAATGCAGCAGAATTTTGTGGGGACGCTGATAAACATGATTGGAAGCCAGATCACAAAAATAAATACACTAAGTTCATATGCAACAATCCTGAGGATTATTTATACTTTGATAGCAACCATTTCACTGAAGCTGGTTATTGGTTTGTGATGAAGAATTTTTGGCATGGATCTTACAATATTGCAAGACCCAGCAACCTCAACTTCTTTTTTCAGGGGTTTAACATTCCAAACCCACCCCCAACGCCTTAAAAGTTTGTAATTTTTTTCTTATAAAATATTTCTTCTAGATGAAGTTTATCACATGTATCAATGTTGTTAATGTTTTCTAGATTAGTGTTTTCTAGGCCTTAACATTAACAACCTCATGCAGTGGAAGGTTGAAAGGATCAATATTTTAGATAAGAAAAAGAACAAAGCTGAGGCACTGGATTACGAATCCCACTCTCAACACTAGTTCGTGATGATAAATAGTTTTCATACATTTTTTGTAGGCAATGGTAGGTAAAACAAATGCTGTTGTTAATTGTGAAGGTAAAAGTCTATGGAGGAAAGCTGGAGCCTCGACGTTTTTACAGTCTCTCTTATGGCTGCGAATTAGAGCCAACAGATTCTATGACCACGGCGTTACCAGACGAGCATTGTAGCCTAGCGCAACGCAATAGAACGTAAAACAATTGGCCCACTCTCCACAGCGACCGCATTGTGTCTCCATGAGCTTCATTTGACAATAGAAAGTTGATACTATAAAATCAGTGGCAGCATTCAAGCGAGTGGAACCAGTCAACTTTACCTTTGCGGGACTGTTGTAGCGTGGAAATCGAGTGACTGTTCCACAAAGCTCGCAACTGCAAGGTGAGGAGTTAAAACGTTTGTAGATGCTCGAAACTTTCAGCTGGAAACACCTGTGAATCTCTACACGGCTGGCTCCAAACTGGAGATCCTCGGCACTTGGTTCTCCCATGCCTATGTGATGCGTGTTGGATGCACAGAAATCACACGAGGGTGAATTCACCCACCTGCAAATCCAGAGCTCTTTCAGAAAAAAAGAAATTTGGGAAAGAAGAGCCAGCAAACGAACTAACTTGAAAGATGTCTTGAGCAACTGAATGAGAAAAAAATGGTTCTCTTCTTCTTTGGTTGGCTGGATCTTCCCTTCCTTGAGATGAACAAAGAAAATCAAGGAAGAGGAAGAAACAAGCGGCCTCGAGCTCGCCCATCCCGACGTCCTGGGAGTTCACGAGCTCCACATATGGTCCGTGACCACCGGCAAAGTTTTGCTGTCGTGCCATGTCGCTGTGAAGCACGACGCCGATGCCGACTTGGTTCTCCAGAGAGTGATCGAGTACTGCGACCGGGAGCTCAAGATAAGTGAGAATGGATGTGGATCATGTGTAGAAAAATCTCCTTTTTTTCGCTTTTTCTTGAGCGATATGACACTGAGGTGAGGAGTAAGTATGTAGCCAAAATTTATATGATGTTAATTTGGATTGTACTGGTTAAGGTAAGCGTTGATTGGGATTACCGAACATGGCCATGCCATATATGGCTATTCCATACAAGGAAATCTATTCCATATTATAAAACCGGAAAATACCACAATCGTAGAAGTAAGATAGAAGTTCTAGTTGAGAGATGGAAGCATTCAAAGTTCTTGTCATTGTTTTGGTTGCATGCATCATGATATCCCAAGCTGCTAGCACGAATCCTCCAGTCCAAGGCCTGTTCGTTTTTGGGAACTCAGCGTTAGATGGAGGACAGAACACGTACATCCCGGGCTCCAAGATTGTTAGCGCAATTCCGCCATATGGAAAGACGTACTTCAGCAAGCCAACAGGGCGTTGGACGGATGGCAGGACGATTGCTGATTTCCTGGCTCAAGCACTGGGCCTTCCATTGTTGCCACCTTTTCTCGAGCCTGGTGCCAACTTTTCCAGTGGAGTGAACTTTGCATCTGCCGGTGCAGGCTTGTTAGATGAAACGAATGCCCATCAAGTACGTATACTCTCGTATTCCCCTCAGAAATAGTTGATTCTGATTCATTCTTTTCGGGTTTTATCAGGGAGTTATTTCAATGAAGCAGCAGCTGCGCCAGTTTCGCAACGTCACAAATGAGTACAAAAAAGAGAAGGGTGTGGAGTTTACGAACCAGCTCTTGCGCAATTCAGTGGCATTGTTTAGCATGGGAGCTAATGATATTGCTAATGCTGTTCCCAGCTCATTCTTGTTCCAGGAGATGATACAAGCATATTCAAGTGCTATTCAGGTACTCGAGTATTACATTCACTAACTTCAAAACCTTTGGATTTCTCTTTTGATTTATAGGAAATTTACAATTATGGCATTAAGCATATTATAATTCTGCTAGCACCACCAATTGGGTGTACTCCTAACTTGAGAGCAGTATCAGCACAAAGCAGGAATACCAATTTAACTCCAGAGGGCTGCATAGGAATCATTAACACTTTTGTGGATTCATATAACACTAAACTCTTGAATCTTGCTGTGAAGTTACACAATGACTATCGTGACTTGAACATTGCAACATTAAATCCATCTCCAATTATACTGAACGTGCTAAGGAATCCTCAGAAATACGGTAAGAAACACAAATTATCTCTCCATTCATATTCATATTAATATTTGTGTGTGTCCATCTAGGTTTCAAAGAAGCAGAAAAGGCATGTTGTGGTGGTGGGCCATTTAATGCAGCAGAATTTTGTGGGGACGCTGATAAACATGATTGGAAGCCAGATCACAAAAATAAATACACTAAGTTCGTATGCAACAATCCTAAGGATTATTTATACTTTGATAGCAACCATTTCACTGAAGCTGGTTATTGGTTTGTGATGAAGAATTTTTGGCATGGATCTTACAATATTGCAAGACCCAGCAACCTCAACTTCTTTTTTCAGGGGTTTAACATTCCAAACCCACCCCCAACACCTTAAAAGTTTGTAATTTTTTTCTTATAAAACATTTCTTCTAGATGAAGTTTACCACATGTATCAATGTTGTTAATGTTTTCTAGATTAGTGTTTTCTATGTCTTAACATTAACAACCTCATGCAGTGGAAGGTTTAAAGGATCAATCTTTTAGATTAAGAAAAAGAACAAAGCTGAGGCACTGGATTACGAATCCCACTCTCAACACTAGTTCGTGATGATAAATAGTTTTCATACATTTTTTGTAGGCAATGGTAGGTAAAACAAATGCTGTTGTTAATTGTGAAGGTAAAAGTCTATGGAGGAAAGCTGGAGCCTCGACGTTTTTACAGTCTCTCTTACGGCTGCGAATTGGAGCCTGCGTCAATGAGAGAATTTGAGGGTGAACACGCATGAAACCTGGTTTTACCTTAGAACACTGCAAGGAAACTGGGACTCTTTGGCAACTATAAAGCATCGTCTCTCGTAGCGCTCTTGAAATAGCTCTCCACTTCGCTTGTCCAGGAGTTGCCAGGTCTTACCCCCATCGCAGCTTCCCTCGAGCATCCTGGAAAAGCAATCAAAAGGAAAAACTCTGATCCATAACAATGGCGATTGATTCACGTACCAGTCTAAAGGATCTCTCTCGGGACAGTCGTTTGCGGATGTTAAGTCGTATCCAACAATGTGTTGAGATGCGTTACCATGCAAATGGTAAACAAGAGTCGCGCCTACAAGCACACCTGTTTCAATTCTAGATGCGAAAAAAATAAAAAACTTCGCCAACCTTTTGCTCCTCCTGGTTCTTCCCATTTTGTGGAGTAGTGGCCGTCAAAAGCTGCGCTAGCCTGCAAACGATAAACTTCGTTTTAAGCGAAGGAAATAACCAAGGGAAACGAGAAAACATACCGTTCCAGAGGGCATCTGTTCGCCGGTGGCATAAACCAAGCCACCGCAAAGCCTCCTTCCTTGTAACATCAGCTGCAGCGAACTCATGTCCTGGGATGCGAGCTTCTTCGTGACTTTCTCGACGTTCTCAAGAGCTGTGACAAGAGCCAGAGCAGCCTTTCCTGGAGGTTCCTTGAGAGTGACTTGCATTCCCCCACTTCCATCGCTCGCTTGCTTCATTCCAATGCCATCCAGCCATGCCGCACCGCCTTTGCTTTGCAGGAAGTTCAGCTGAGTTTCGTCTGTGGATTCCAGCTTCGCACTTCTCGCTCTGAATGGCTGCCTCTTAAGCTTGATCAATAAGTCGTGGAGAAGTGCCAGCTCTTTTTCTGCCGTGCTTCTTTCTTGAGAGCATAACAGCCCGATTGCTTGGTAGATTTTACCGACGTGCTCATCTGCGCATAGCCTTGCCGGGCAGAAGCTGCGATCGGACTCAATATGCTGTACTCCCATTTCTCCTCTGACTTCACGCCATTCTTTTGAGCCACTCTGGCGACCAGGTAGGTGTTGATCCGTCTCTGGGCTGGCTTGAGCTCCAGAGAGCTCTTCAGCCTCTTGCCTGTCACGTTGCTCAAGTATATCGAGCTCCTCGGGTTCCAGTTTGCTCCTTTGAATCGCTGTTAGCAGTGCTACTACCTCCTCCGCGGTCTCTTCGCTTACCAAGTTCCTGCGAGACACTACCTTTTACAACAAAGTCAAAGAAGCGCCACACAATATAGTTTGTACCTCTGGCCACTTCCGTGTGTATCGTTTTGTAACATCATAAACTCCATCTTTCGCAACGGCAATGACGTAGTTCAGCTTCTTTCCCCATCTTGACGCAAGTCCGGTGTTAGCGTGAGGAAAAGAAATGTCACATAGTACCCTTTCTCGTAAAGAAGCGGAGTATCATACGAGGCCTCACACGGATCCAAGTGCACCCATCTGCACAAGCACTTCAAGAGCTTTATAAGAGGTCGGGAGAGCATACCTTCCGAGATAAGGAGAATAGCACTCTGTCCAGACGTGATCCGTGAAGTCAAGGACCTGCACAAAAGCAAGAGTTACAAGCATGAACCAACAGATTCTATGACCACGGCGTTACCAGACGAGCATTGTAGCCTAGCGCAACGCAGTAGAACGTAAAACAATTGGCCCATTCTCCACAGCGACCGCATTGTGTCTCCATGAGCTTCATTTGACAAAAGAAAGTTGATACTATAAAATCAGTGGCAGCATTCAAGCGAGTGGAACCAGTCAACTTTACCTTTGCGGGACTGTTGTAGCGTGGAAATCGAGTGACTGTTCCACAAAGCTCGCAACTGCAAGGTGAGGAGTTAAAACGTTTGTAGATGCTCGAAACTTTCAGCTGGAAACACCTGTGAATCTCTACACGGCTGGCTCCAAACTGGAGATCCTCGGCACTTGGTTCTCCCATGCCTATGTGATGCGTGTTGGATGCACAGAAATCACACGAGGGTGAATTCACCCACCTGCAAATCCAGAGCTGTTTCAGAAAAAAAGAAATTTGGGAAAGAAGAGCCAGCAAACGAACTAACTTGAAAGATGTCTTGAACCAGTGGAGCAACTGAATGAGAAAAAAATGGTTCTCTTCTTCTTTGGTTGGCTGGAACTTCCCTTCCTTGAGATGAACAAAGAAAATCAAGAGGAAGAAACACGAAGTAGAGCTCACCTTGGCAAGCGCGATGGCGGCCTTTTCCTCGAATTCCTCTACAGGCAGCAGTGCTCTAGCTAGCCCTTGCATTGCCGGATCATGATACTATAGCGAAAGAGAAAGTTAGAGAGATTTGTGCTCGGTAAGACTTACTTGGGCGATCTGCTCGACATAGCCCTCCAATTTCTGCTGGAATTCCTCTCCCTGCAAAGCATTTCTTATTAGAACCGATCGATCGATGCGCACAGCGCCTTCTTACCATAAGAAGAAGATGAACAATATTTCGAGATTTAGGGTTCTTCCCTCCCAATCAGACCACTTTCATGGCCATGGAGACCTATTCCGACGAGCTAGCACCATCGAGCGGGTCGATCATCAACAAGAAGAGCGCTAGCAGCATTTCCAAGAGAGGTTCTAGCGTTCTCGATGGCGGCGATTCTCCATACTACCTCGGCTGGAAGGAATTCCAAAGAAATCCATACGATCCGGTCTTCAATCCGGGTGGATGCATTCAGCTAGGCTTGGCGGAATCCAAGGTGATGGAAAATTTCCTGGTTCTATGAGCTCGCACCTTCTAATCTTGTTTGCTTGGTTTGGATTGATCGAGGCAGCTTTCTTTGGATTTGCTGGAACAATGGCTTGATTCACATCCAGAAGCTACAAGATTTCCAGTGGACGAGATTGCCGTGTATCCAGACTATGCCGGACTAGCAAGCTTTCGAAAAGTATGGAGCGATCTCTCTTGTGTTCTAGCTAACTCCTGGCTCTTGCTTCCAGGTTTTCGCGAGCTTCATGGAAGAAGTACTTGGAGGAGGCCAAGTAGCTTTCGATCCAGACAACATTGTGATGACTGCCGGTGCGACGGCAGCCATTGACGTGCTAAGCTTTTGCCTGGCTCAAGCTGGAGATGTGTTCCTCGTTCCAGCGCCTTATTATCCCGGGTAAGCTTTCTAGCATCCATCTCTTACATGCATCCTTAGCTCTTTGCAAGCTCATTTCTCGCAGCTCTAGCTCTAGAAAACAAAGAAAGTTTTGCCTGCTTGCTTCATAGTTTCCAGCTCTTAAAGATTTCTTCCTTGCTCTTTTCACGTCTCTTCTCATGCAGAAATTCTCGTGACTTATCATTCTTACTTTGGTTTGCCAGTTTTACGAGAGACAGCCGATGGAGGAGCGACGTAGAGCTCATTCCCGTGGAGAGCAGCAGCGCCAATGGATTCAACGTAACGCCAGCGTCGCTCAAGGCGGCTTTCCATCAATGCGCCAAGCTCGGGAAGAAGGTCCGCGCGCTGCTCGTTGCGTCACCCAGCAACCCCGTCGGCAATTCCTTGCGAGCAGATACGCTCAAGCAGATGCTGGAGTTCATCAAGAGCGAAGGGATTCACCTCATCTGCGATGAAGTTTATGCCGGCTCCACTTTCGACGATCCGGAGTTTGTCAGCATTGCCAAAGTCATGGAATCCGGGGACTACGACAAAGCCAGCGTCCATATAGTCTACGGCATATCCAAGGACCTGGGACTCCCTGGACTGAGAGTCGGGGCACTCTACTCTTGGAACAAGCAGGTTCTATCAACGGCAGCTAGACTGGGAAGGTTTTGCTCGGTTTCAACGCAGACGCAGTGCTTCGTCAGTGCTTTTCTCTCGGACAAGGAGTTCGTTCGTGACTACCTGCGAGAGAATAAGAAGAGGTTGAAAGCTAGACGAGACTGGGTGGTGGAAATGCTGAGAAACACAGGTACCGGCTGCGCGAAAGGTAATGCTGGTTTCTATTGCTGGATAGACTTGTCAAGATTCCTAAAGGCACCCACGGAAGAAGCAGAGACCGAGCTGTGGAAGAATGTGGTGTACGAGGTTGGGCTGAACTTAACTCCTGGGAGTGCTTGCCACTCCCCGGAGCCAGGCTGGTTCCGGTTTTGCTTTGCAAACCAGGACGAGGATACTTTAGCAGTGGCTATTCGACGATTGGAGGATCTACGTGCGTGAAAGACCGTGAGTACAAACAAAAGAAGAAAGGCTCACTCAGTATTCCAAGAGCCTGAACGAGTCGACAACGCTGTGCAGCCGGTCGCGCATCTTGTTCCATCGTCTCTCGTTAGCTCCGGTGACGAGCGCGTAGAATTTGCCTGCGATCTCAAAAGCTTAGTGGACATCACGATTCGAGACAAGCTTTTACCGTTTGCAACTGTGACTGCTGCCAGCGCATGTCGCGTGTACGTTTTGTCCTTGGCAAGGAACTCGAACGTGTAGTATGGCTTGCCATCGGTTTCTCTCTGCGACGGAAGGAGAGAAACTTCAGACAAAGAGACATCGATGGGCTAACAAATACCTCCTTGGCTTCAATAACTTGCGTTTTTTGCGACGGTGAGGTGAGGAACTTCTCGACTAGAGTTTTCGAAAGCTGCGGCAAAATAGTACTGTGAAGTGTCCATTCTTTCCAAAGGGTATTTTCTTTACCTTATCGGGAGGTCCAAAATCGTGAATGTCGGTTTTCTCAGTTTTCACAATATTCACACTGACGCTTTCCAGTGGCTCAATCACGTCTTTGTACACTACATCCTGACCTTTGACAACAATTTCCTACATCGCAGGAAGTATAAACAACAACAACAAAAAAACACGAAGGATTCAAGAGCTACCTCCCAGCCGAATGGATAGTAAAATACGTAGCCATCGTTTTTGTCCAATGATGCCTTGAAGCCTGCAGGAGTTTCTGCAACATTCTTCCATCAAAACATGATATGAGAGTACTTGAGACACTCACTCTCGGCGCGGGCAACGTCGGGAGAGATCAACAACAATGTCCCGACGCCTACGAGAATCTGCCGACGCTTGGTCCTGTCTACACGACAGATTAGCGGATACCTTCGCAAAGTTAGAGAGCTTTTACCATCAAAATGATCCAAGTTCATGGAGCTCTTCATCTTTATAGACTGTTTGGTCTGTGAGATCCAAACGTGAGTGAACAGGAAAAAGTAGAAGCAGAAAATTGTGACCTTGGGGCATCCTCGCAATGCCGGAGGCACTTCTGAGTAAAATGCGGCTACCTGCGGCTCCAGTGCGAGATAAATTGGTCTTCCACACCACGCTGCCATTCCTGGGCTCCTAGAGGCCAAAGCAAACGAGGAGCAGATAGACCCCTCTCTGCACATCTAGACCGTTCAACTCGTTCAAGCTATAACCAAACTTACGAAGAAATTACCTGGATGAAACATCACGAAGTAGAAGCCACTGCAAACATAAGAAAAAAAATGAGGATAAGAGACAACAAAATGAAAACTCACACCTCTATAGTTGCTGGTTTTCTCGAGTCTCCTCTCAAGTTCGTCCACCCAGCCACTTTCATCATCAAAGCATTCGGATCCGTCGAAGCTTAAAAGGGTAGAAGGACGTGCTGATCTGATAGTCTCTTCCAGCGGGACAGGAACTCCCAGCTTCCTCAGGCCGGAGAAGTAAGGCCACTTGAACCACCTTAAAGCATCCGCGGTTATTTTTCTGCAGTTCCAAAGATCAAGCAGCTTGAGAACTCTTCCGGGATGCATAGCGAGATGCGTAGCCAACACCATCACTGAGACGTCTCCTATCTGGTAGCAGTTCCGTAACCAAAGCTCTGCTGGTAGCACCCCATTCTGCACTAGCGATAAAATGCTTGCGTCCGTAAGCTTCGGTATGAGTGAGAGATCAAGAGACTTCAACGTTTTCGCTGCCCTGCCGGCCATTAGAGCGACGATTCCATCGTCCGTGACCCTTGTGCAAGCTCTCAGAGAAAGTGATATCAACGACATCTTCCCCTTTGCAAGAGGATAAAGGCCGAAGTCGCTAACATCTGAGCCATCGAGCAATAGCGTTTTCAAGTTGCATAACTTGGAGATATGTCGCAGGCCAGCGTCACCGATGCTTCTACAGCCTCTGAGATTTAACACCTCCAAAGTGGTGCAACAGACGAAGTGCCCGAGAGTGTCATCGCTGAGCAAGTTGTTCAGAGACAAGTTCACGTTGACAAGCCCGCGAGGAACGGATGATGATAAGTTGTGAAACGCCAAGTCGGTTAACTTACTCGTCTTCATAAGCTCAAAAGTGTGAAGCTTCGAGCAACTGTAGAGAATAGCCGCGCAGCTAGCGTCTGTAATCCGAGAGAAACCACCGAGCCTTATACTCTCCAGCTGCTGCAGGCTGTGGATCATTATAAATACTCCAACGTCGTTGATTCGCTTGAAGAAAAATTTCGAGCCTCTGACCAGGGAAAGCCGACGCAACCGAGTAAGAGCTCCAAGTTTCTGAATGCCCGCATCTGTTAAGTCGTTCTGATAAGCCTCGGATGGCTCGTCCCGCAACTCAAGCTCCAAAAGCATAGGCAGGTTCTCAGAAACGCATTGCACAATAGCGTCGGTGATATGGTAGAGAACCAAGGACAGCCTTTGGAGTTTGTACTGCGAGGCTGGAGACGCTGTGGCGTGGATAAGCTTGAGACCGTGCTCTTCCGAAAGACCACCAATCTCAAGAACTAATAGCGAAGGTAGGACAATACCACCAAATACCAAAACCTCCGGATCAAATAGCAGCGACAAGGACTGGAGTAAAAAACGCGTATGAGCACACAATAAAGAAAAGGCAAGAACATACCTCCAAAGAATGGCAGTGCTGGAGTGAAGCTAAAGACATCGTTGTGGTATCCGAGCATGGATTTATCGATAGACGCCTATAGCACGATAGGAAAAAGATTTAGCATACAGTATATCAAGGCCAGACTCCTACCGGAGGTTGCGAGCAGTGAGACCAATGTCGTGAAAAAACCCCGGCGAGAATTCTGTGCAGTACTCGAGGTGGAGCTCCTCCAGCTGAGGCTTGGCAATAAGGTCTACCATATCATCCTCCAGAGCCACGCCACGGAGTTTCAAACTTAATCGCGAGCTCGACGAGCCAATGCTCGACGTTAGGAGCCGTTTCAATGTGGCACGATCCAGAGAATAGTCCTAGAGAGCCCGGAGATCAATAGCTGATGGGCATTTCTACGCGACATACCTCAAGATGAAGATTTTCCAAGAACGGCAGCTCCTGATCGACAGCGGCTTTCAGCACCCGGCACGTCGACGCGGCCGCGAAGAGAGAAGAGAGATCGAGCAGAGAAACTATGTCCTGGAGCACGGACAGCGGGAGGCGCTCCATCGCTGCCAAGCCCTAAGTAATAGATTCAATCACACAACAGTTCTAGTTTTTTTGTTTAATAAAAAAGTATGTCGGCCAACTCTGTGTACGAAAGAATGCCGTGTTTTAACGCGATTTTCGTCACTGCAAACTCCAAGCAAGGTATGTTCTCACGCTTGAGGAGATCTGCCAAGAAGGTCAAGCTCGAATCCACCGTTATCAACCCACTGAATTCGGCCTTTGCTCAAGTGTGCTGGTGGAGGAGCGCTGCGAAAACGAAGAGAGAGACGTGGTGGATTCCCCCACTCAATCCTGGAGGGAAGGAGAAGGATTCCGCTGCACAGTGAAAGCCGAAGCTGAAGATCCCACAATCTTGAGTGTTCAACCAGATTATGTTGTTGTCTGAGCTCTCACCAGGGCCATCGATCCCAGCTACGTTTGTCCACAGCCAAGGGAATTGACCTTGCCACAAATTAACTAAGACTTTCTTAGGCTGCAGTTTAGACAAAAGCGGTGCGACTGGGTTAATGTGTAAGTTATCTGAGAATTGCAGTGCACGAAGAGTTCAGTTGCTTTCAGTTTTCATTTCGTTCTTCTTTTTTCTAAAATAAAATTACTTTGTTTATAATGAATCACACAAAGCTCTGGTTACAATCCATTTGTGCATAACTATAAAGCATAGGAACTTATTTATATACATTGTTAAGTGCTAGCTTTAACTCTGTGGTCAATGTGGGTCAAAAGGAAACTCAAAAGTATATTAAGGGATGTTAAAATATAAAATTTAATCTACTCTAGGGCTCACAATGAAGGGCTGATTGTCCACAACTAAAGAACAAGTAATAGGGTAAAAAAAATGGTTAATCTTCTATTAATAGTATGTTAAATACTAAAAAGTTGCAAAGTTTATAATGTGAGAATGATGGGGAAAACCATTCCGGTCAAAGGAAGAGGCTTTTCAATTGTTATTCATCAACTCAATTGTGTGTGGAACAAGATGGAATTTGAGAACATTTATGCATTAGCTTTAATGTTGAAGGCATACTTATCGGAAAATGTGGTTGATTTTGTAAAAACCTTTCACAAACGGGCGTTTGCATATGTGTTCGCATTCCATTTGCAGAGGGTTGCCAAGTTAAACAAATATTCCAAGTTAAACCAGAATCTTTTACAATCTTTTATGTTTCTTTCTACGGATGGGAGGCAATTGCTGCTGCAATGGCTCGCCAAGCCACCTCTTCTGATCGTCCAGGGAAAAAACAAAACTCCTTGGGATCAATTCACTATTTATGGTGCAGCTTACAAGCAAAGCCATGGGCAAGTTCTACAATGAGTTGAAATTTGGTTTGCTAAAGAGTTTGATTGCACATGTAGGGAGGGTCCTGGGGGAAGAGATTGAGGTTTGCTGTGGTTAGGTGCCCTTGAATGTGCTCAATGAGATGCAAATGAAGTGCTTTAGTGATTATCATTGTTGTGAACCATCACAAAAAGATGGTCTTGCTGTCTACACTACAAATGCCCAGTATGTAAACATCAATAGGGAGATTTTCAAGACTCCTTTCCTAGAGATCAGCTTTTGCTACCTGCCCATTGATTGTGAGTCATGGAACATCTTCATTTCTACCAGGTAGTAATGCTCTAAGTCAATAATCCCTGGCTGCGACAATGGATTTTGCTATTTCAAATAATAATAATGCAGTAGATGCCCAAACAGGGCAAGCACTCTCTAGAGGACTTTTTGGCGGGCAATAACAGAGCAACATGTCAAGTCCTATGAATTCTAGTGGGGGGATGCAACTGGGCCTGGGTATGGCTGCTGGCAGACAACAAAGCCTATATACAACATTGCAAAACCAGAGCTACATTGATGTGGATGTTGCTGTTTGCAGGTTCATCTATGGAACTGCACAAGCCTTCAATGTTGTGAACAACCTGTATTAGAAAGAGATGCTCAGCACTGTGGGGAAAATTGGTCCAGGCTACTTCTCAGTGTCTCTAAAGTATGAAGCGATCCAGGTGAAACATTTAAATAAGGAGTATGAAAGCTTGAACTCAAGGCTAGATGTTGTGCATGAAGGCTGGAAGTGATTTGGCTACACGATCATCACTAATAGTTGGCAATGCCCAAGGAAACAAAGCATTGTGAACGTGATGGTGGTGAACATTCATGGATTAGTGTTTCTGAAATTGTTTGATGCGTTGGAGGAGAAGAAACCGGTCTCTAGTTGTGGTCGAAGTTGAGCCTTGTTCTCATGGAGGTTGGATTTGAGAATGTGGTTCAAATGATCACTGCTACTGGCTTCAACTTTGTTCGCATGGGGGATTTCATGAAAGAGGAGTTTTCGAAGATCGTTCACGGCAGATGTGCAATTTTATGCTGAAGAAGCTAAACTTGGTTACAGCATTCTGGAAAATCACCGCTTGAGACCTCATCAAACCAGCGTTGACGAGATTTTTGTACAACTTCATGGTGATGAGCTCCTTGACTGAACTGGAGATGATCAAAGCTTTGCAGCAGTTTGTGGTATTAGATGTATGGTACCAAAACTAGGATAAGTTGAGCGAAGTTTCAACACTAAAAGTCCTGATTCAGAATGGTAGTTTTTGGCATTGTTGTGCTAAGGTTTTGCTGGTGACGGAACCAATTTTGAAGGTTCTGAAGCTGGCAGATCGAGAAGGAGCAACCTTGGGCTTCTGTTTGAGGAGATGGATCAAGCTCAAGAAGCTCTTCAAGTTTTGGATGTGAACAAGATGGTTGTTGAAAAGAGGATCAACATCATCAAGCATTTCATCTTTGAGTTGAGCACAGAAGAGCTTGACCCCGTGAATCTCCATCTGCAAAGCAAGAGCTAATAGAAAATGTTCCACTCTATGCTCCAAAGTGCTACTCATTGTTTGAATCCTCTCTGGTTGAGCTTGCTAGAAAATTCTGAGGCAAAGAGTGATCTTTATGATTATTTTGAGCTAGTGGCTGGAGCCAAGAACTATGAGTTGTTTCAAAAGCTCACTTTCCAATATCGGAGTTTATGGAGGCTACACCATAAGAGATGTCTCATGCAATTGCCAAACATTGAAAAATGCAGCTCCATCTAATGAGCTAGTGGATAGAGTATGGATCAGTGTTGCCAGAACTTCAAGAGATTGCTATGCGTGTTCTTAGCCATACTATATTAGTTTCAGCCTCTGAGCAAAATTGGAGCATTTGGAGCATCATGCAAATAAAGAGGTGAGCTCATTTGCTTGTAAAGACCATGGAGAAGCTCTTCTTCTACTACAGCAACTTGAAGCTACTCAAGGAGATGGAAACACATGAGATGAGGCTTTTGGAGGTGAATGCGGATGAAATAAAGGTTGAGCCTCAGTGGATCAGAATTCTTTTGATGCAGGAAATACTTGAGGAAATTGAATTGAAGTTGCATGTTGAAATGGAGGAGGTTTATGATGATGAGGCAGGGATGGGATCAAATGTTGATGATGAAGAAGAGGAAGTGTGATCACTACTGTTTGTGTGTTTGAAATTTGAATTTCAAGTTTCAATGTTTCAAATTTATTTCTTTTACATATATTTAGGGTTTATTTACATTTGAATTATACAAACTAGTATCTTCGTTCATATCAAAAGTCTCTATGTTTGAACACATTTGCGTCTGTTTAGTTCGTTTTGTTCAGTTGTTTGCCAATAAGTATAGCTGGAGAGCGTGTTCTGTGGTGGTCTAGATTTTATTGGATAGTGGGAGTGATAACAACTTTGTTCCAGCAAGTTATGGTCTAGTGATATAAGCAGTTCTTCCATACATAGTGGAAGGTGCAATTACCCTTGCTTAGCATTTTGTTAAATGGGGTTTTTCATATTTATCCTTTAAAAAATCCATAGAGGTCCAATTTTGACATGCATAATTGGGAGGGGGGGTGAAGAAAGAGGGATCAATGGAACTAGAGTCTAGTTCTGTGCAATCCTAATCAAAGGAACTTGAGTCCAATTCTATGCAACAAAATCCATGCCACTCACTCCACAAATATATACTCCTAATCCTTAGTGGTTGTGAACTTTTTGCCTTATCTATGGTCCCCAGCCTCATCTTTCCCATATCGACTGTGCCTACTAATGTGAGGGACTTGAGTCAGTTGTGAAATCAGTGGTGGTACACCGCCCTCGCTTGATCTCCACCCATATAGCACCTACAGATATAAAAAGCCCCTAAAGATGTATAGTCATGGATCCTATGGTGCGATAAATTGAGGAGGAGTGTATAATCTCTAGTAATGGTGATGCTGCTATTGCCTAGAAGTCCTTTCCTCATTGCTGTGTGACCGATCCCCTCCAACTAAAATTGCTATTTCCTACCTCCCATCAGGCCATGCAAGTGTAGTGCTGCCACACCAATCCCATACCCTCATACTAGTATAGTTGTACCCTTGGCACTATCCATCTGGAATCATGACCAAAGGTGAGCCACTCCTCTTGGATTCGGGTTGAAGTTACATTTCCGCACTCTAACAAGCTAATTTGATGCAACCTCTGACACAAGCTATGCCCCTCGAAACATCCCATACATCTAAGCGGTGGTGCTCCGAGTGCCTTGATCATGGTGAATCCACAGCCAAGGCAAGAAAAGAATTGGCCAACATAGTCATACCATATAAACGAGGACTTTAGTGTGCTGTTGAAAAGTATTCCATTGCTAATTGGAACTAAGTGTGCAATTGGAAGGTAAGGAAGTGTTGCCAAGCAGTTTGAAGGATCTGGTAATATGGTGAAGAATAGTGTCCTTTATATATCAATCTTAAGTAGTTGTAATGGTGCTAGATGAGACATTACTCAACATTTTGATGCTTGTGTAGAGGGGCTGGAAGTGTTGGTTAATCTTGCAAATATCTATTATGTGGATCTCATTTTTGGGATGCCATGGTTGGTGAAGGTGGATTCAAAGATAAAGTGGAGCATTAAACATATCTCACTAGAGTGCGGTGGAGTCAATGATATGTGGTTTGGAGAGGGAGTTTAACATTTAGTTGTTATGCTCT